AGAGGTATGGACTTCAGGGCTTGCTGGGGAATTCTGGGAGTTGAAGTCCATACCTCTTAAAAGTTGTTGAGTTTGAGAAATACTGCACAAGAGGCATGTTCTGGCTGGGTATAAAGGAGAGGACTTTTCATTCTTGATACCATCATTATAACTTTAAGCATGTATAGCATATTCACCTGCAGTCTTTTTAAAAATCTCTCCCCTTTCTGTGTTCTCTCTCTGTTGTGGTTTGCAAGGGCAAGCTCTGGAGTGGGGCATTTTATCTGCTTTCTTTCTATTTTTCTTCCCCTTATCTATCTCAGAAAGCCTAATAAATTCCCAGTTTTGTTGTTCTACTGCCTTTCCCCTAAAAGTTTAAATAAGGGGCCATGGATTAGAAACCTCTTCAGAATATATGTGAGCTACAGGATAACACAGCATATGGTTAATTTAAAAAAAAAAGAGGTTGTGCTGATCAAAATACACATTCAGTGAAATTGATTTTAGTAGAGCACCTATTATATAATTAGGTGGCTGTTTCTCTTTGGACAAGCAAGATTATAGAAGAGGGGACTATGAAGCTACTATCTTCCCCAAACTCTTTGCCTTATTCCACAATGAGCATCTAATTTCTTGTTGGTGCTGTTCAGGTGTAAGAAATGCATAATGCAAGAAGTTGGATTTATGAAGCCTAAAACTCTCGTGAAATCTTCTCTCCAGCTACATGATTATCTCACTATTCCTGAGGCCAAGATAAATTTCTATGGTGCTCCAATCAGTTCTTTGCACTACTGGGTATTGGGAAACGAAACCTGTACCCTTTTCGATGTGGAGTTTGTCCTGGCTGAGAAGAAAATTAATGGCTAAGAAGTCTTTGGAACATTTCTGGGTCAGTCAGGATGTTTAAGTGGAGTGGGTTAGTCATATTTCTTCCTAGGCACTTCATGGTTCCTGGGGTTTGTGGATATTTTTCCCGCACATATCCAATTTTAGCTGCATCTCAGGTGCAGCTAAAGAAAGACCAGATCTTACCTGTTAAGTATTTTTCAACCTACAATCTATCTGTCCTTAAATGTACAGAAAATGAATTTTAAGCAGATTAGAAAATCACAGCCTGTATTTCCTGCAATTACATTTTCAGGAGAACAAGTGCAAACACTCAACTTGACCCCATTTCAGCATAGGTTATGGTGCTATTAATCTGGGTGCTTTCTCAGGCCAGCCTGGGATCTGTCTTATCCATGTTTCTTCTTAGATTCTTCCAAGCACAGGTACAGCTGATTTGTCACTGTTATAGATAATCTTGTTCATTGTTTGTTCTAGTGTAAGGCTCTTGTTCTGGATTGATTAATGAAATGTGGCTTTTATCAGTGCTCAGTGTCTTGATGGCACCCCTTTCATCCATGTAATGGGAAGCGTGCAGTCTTGAAATATAACCATTTCATGTATTTTGCTTCCCCTCGTCTGCCTTTAAATATCTTGCATCTTCTCTTTGGCCTGATATGTAAGCATTCTTTTTTAAAAATTTATGCTCAGAGCCCAAAATCAGTGAATGAAATAATTGTCTACAGTTGAAAGGTTTGGGGCGGGGAATGTTATGTAATTCATGTGTGCTATCACAGCAGCAAAGATCAGATAAACTTGCGTTCAAGGGACATATTGCTTGAAAAGAAGAGAACCGAGGGGAGGGCATGTGGTCTCCCAAGGGATATTATATATGCAGGGACCTACAGATGATGGAGCAGACTTTCACTGTGGAATCTGATCCGATCTTTCTGATGCAGGAAGTTAAGCATTAAGGTTTCATCTCCAACGTTGGCTTCTATGGATCCTTAACACCCAGGGAGATCTTTTTAAAATCTGCCCAAAGGTCACTAGAGTTGCAGTTTATAATATCCAGTAGCAGTTTGGGGATACGGGAAGAGTAACTCGGTTTAGGAGGACTCTCTGGATTCCAGGGTGGCAGCCTTTTCAAACGCCCGATTCAAGCTGAAGCGGTCTCCTGTCCAAATTTCAGGAACTTAAATGAAGGGATTTTCATATTATTTAATTCATTTTCTCCCGTATGCCTCTCTCCTAACCCCCACATAGATCGTGTTGCAGTTTTTCAAAGATTACCTTTGCTAACTCTTAACTTTCTGGGATTATTTTTTTTTTAAATGAGGAAAAAAAAGACAAGTCTAGCTCATATGGTGACTTGTGTCAGCGTTTTGCATTTTTGAGCCTTTTGGATATATATTCTCTGCAGAATGGAACGGAAGTCTGTGTTGGAGTTGAAGGGGAACTTCAGTCAATAATGGAAATTGCTGCTGCTCAGGAATTCATTTGTAAAATATTAAAAAAAAAAATTATATAAAATCCATTTGTAAATGGATTGAAGAGAGTATCCATTTTCTTAAAAGGTGGCAATATGGGATGTTTTTTTTCCTAGGGTCTAGGAATTGATTTGTACACATTAGCCCATGGACATTTATTTAAAAATCAAATTTCCCACTGTGGTAGGACTACCTAGATCTGAGCTGCGAAGAACCAGATTGACAGCAAAGATGCAGAAATCTCCTTGCTGCCTTCTAGTGGCTATTCAGAGCCTTGCAGTCCAGATCGGATAATCCTATTCCACTGTATCTTTCTCTCGTCTTGTTTTTTAAACTTTGCTCCTTAAGTTTTATCTGCCGTTCTTCCATAAAAGTCACATAGAAAATTCTGGCATGTGTATATATGTATGTAATAATAAGCTTATTGATATATTTTCCACTCTTCTGATCTTTCCAGTTCTAGAATTTCCATTCTAATCTTCTCTTTGAATCTTCCCACACTTCACTTTGATTTGTAAATGAAAGAAAAATGGCTTTGAAGTTTGTCTTTATATTAAAAATGTATGTATTTTAATACACTGTACTAAATGTGGTGCTTCCATTCATTTTAAAGTTGGCTTGGGATATATTTTTTTTATCCCATACGCAGGTCGCTGTATCTATGAATTGTTTGTCATGAAATACAGTTGTGGCCATGAATTTGTGTGGCTCTAATTGCTAAGCAAATCTAATGAGGGAGATAGATCTAGCAATTATATAAACAAAAAATATAAAACTCTTCCTGGCTTTTGGCCGGAGTCAAATAATATCAGATAACCATCACTGATATTCTGTTTCCTGGGAATGATGGCATTAGCATGCTGAACTGGAGAAGGCATTGCAGAAACTATAATGTACAGAAGGCCATACCTTAGAGCAAGGGTGGGGGACTATGGTCCTTTTATGACTTGTGGACTTCCAACTCCCATGGCTGGCTCAGGAATTCTGGGAGTTGAAGTTCGCAAGTCATAAAGGGCCCATAGTTCCCCAACTCTGGCTTAGAGCAAAGATGATAAGCCTTTTGAGCTCAGTGTGTCAAAAATTTGTAAAATACCTACCTTGGCTCTGCTGGCATATTAACACACACATACACAAATGACAAAAGGGGCCTCTCCGGATCTCCTCTCCAGATCATTTGGAAGTTGCGTGAGAATATTTACATGGTTTATGGATACCTCAGAGGCTGGATGAGAGCAAGACCATTTCACGTGGCTTGCAGAGGGTCTGGAGGCCTGGCATGTCACCTGTGACACGTGTCATTATTTATATCCGGCCCTTATTTTTTTATAAACAACTCAAGGTGGTGAGCATATCCAATACTCCTCCTTCCTCCTATTTTCCGCATAACAGCAACCCTGCGAGGTAAGTCGGGCTGAGAGTGTGTGACTGGCCCAAGGTCAGCTAGCTGGCTTTCATGGGTAATGTAGAATTAGAACTCACAGGCTCCTGGTTTTTAGCCTGACACTTAGAAATGTTTGCCATCACTGCCTTAGAGCCATTCTAGCAAAAGGAATGTGAAGAGTTCTGCTTGCCCTACACTTTTCACTCTAATGTTCAGATACCACTAATTCTATAAGTGATGGTAATGGAAAAATCTATTAACTCCTTGCCTTTAGATGCGGAGTCCGGTCAGAATCAGCTAACATGGCCAATACTGGGGGATTTGGTTTATAACATTGGGAAAGCATCAGGTTGCTCACCCTTAAAAGTTTGACTTCTTGTCATTTCAGTGACAATTTCCCAAAGACTGCAGATTGGATTGAGGTTAAATATTGGGAGCATTAAAATTCTTAATGTAGGCAATTTTCCCTATCTACAAGTAATATGGCTCTGCCCAAACATCCTTTTTCATTCTCTTTGCCTGATCTGCAAGAATTCTTGCTCCAAATATTGTTTGGAGGGGGGGCTCCCAAAGAAAGTGTCAAAGAAATGTGTTTTGTCCTGAGAATAGGTAGTTAAGTAAATAACTAGAAGAGTTTACAGAAAGCATGAACCATGCTTTATAAACTATACAACCAGCTACATCACAAAGAAGCAAACTGTTTTTGACTTAACGTGTTTTGTTGCCAACCTGGACAGATGCTTCTGGCTTGATCACTTGGTTGATAAGACTGGACAGCCGCTTGTCAGAAATGGTATAGGCCAGGTCTTCTGCTTGAACGGGGTTGGACTAAATGACCTACAAGTTCCCTTCCAACTTTGTTATTCTGTATACGGTTCTGACAGGAGCCGGCAGATGTTATCTCAGAATCATTGTACCATGTATTTCAATTACAACATTTCTAACCCTCTAATTTTTCAATACGTCTAGGGTGCCATTCACTGACTAGACCTAAGCAAGTTTCTTTCCTAAATATTTATCTGTCCTGAAGAACAAGTAAATAATAAGTCACCAAATAAAGATTTGTTGAAAGTCCAACACACCTACTTGATAACACAGTAATGGCAGAGCAGCAGAAAATAAAAGCAGATAACAAAAAGGCAAAATAGGCAAAATAATTAAACCCATCAATGGAAAAGTAATTGCTTTTTTATTATACAGAGATGGAATGGTAGGGGAAGAGAAGGGAGATTTGAGGTTACAGTACATCTTGAATTTCTGAAGGCTCTAAACGCTTTTCTAAATAACCACAGGCATTCTGTCGGAGAAGCGTTTTCCCCATTTTCTTGATAAAAATTAAGAAAACTTTCAAAATGCCTGAAGAAATTTCACAGCAGGTTTTAAAATACATTCAGCTGCCAGTTCCCAAAGTTGGACAAGAAAGATACTGGAGGAAACAACAGAAAGACACTGTAACACCAAGAATGTGGTGGATACAGGGAGAAATTTTACAAACACCAGACGCTTCAGGAGTACATCTTCACAGCTGCTATGAACCACTAGTCACCCAACCTAAACACCAAGCATGTAAGATTGAAAAGAGTCTTCCCTTTTTATTCTTGCAGGAAATAATCACTACTGACTGTAAGGGCTGCCAAATGATCTGTTTGCCACATCAAAGGCTGAACGTCTGTTGAATCTATTGTTTTAGATCAGCAAACCTGGGCCTACTTATTTTGATCACTGATTTAACACCGACACCCCTGTATTCAAAGAGGCAGAGTGCTTGCTGTGTCCATTTGCCAGCCAGCCTTCCACTTAAAAAGTACCTCACATCAAGAATAAGTTAAGGACTGCCTATCCATTTTGTACCTGGGAGAAATCGCTGGCCAATGCAAGGAGATGGTAGGAAGACCAGTCTGAATTTGGGAGTGGACACAGCAGAGCTGGGCTACCTATTAAATTCATCTCTGTTGATGACACGTTTTGTCATCTTGTCACTAAAACCTCCCTGCCTTACCAAAGGGGATTAAAAAGAATTAAAATCCGAGGCCTTCTTCCAAATGTGAAGCTCCCTTTCCCCATTTCCTTTATTTTTACAACTGTACTTGCTCTGTGCACCTGTATATGATAGAGGCAGGACTGATTCAATTAACCCAACCACAAAACTGATCCTCCTTATCAGTAATCTTCATTACAGAGGTGGCTATTGGTAGTAGCAAAACTGAGATCACAAAGCAGCAGAAGAGATACAGCAAGTGTGGACAGTGTGGGTATGTTTTTTTTTTTAAAGAGAAACATTCCCTTTCCTCTCCCTTAAAGTTCGTAAAAAAAAAAAATAGAGAATTTACTCTGTCGACATTTCAGCAGTGGAGTTCCTGTGTTCACCTTTATGTGGATTAAAGTTTCCGTGCCCCCAACTGGAAACGGGCTTCCTCTGAGATGCCATATTGCTCCAAGGGGTCCTGCATCCAAAGAAGCAAGAAGGTGGCAGGTTGACAGTTTGTTCCACAAATTATCTGTGTTCTCTTCTATGCTGATTCAAACGGCCAGCTACCTATGTTCATCTGGCATATGTTCCACTGAGGTCATCTGTATCTCCTTCCAAGTTAGCAGATGCACCGGCTTGGTGCTGAACAGCATGACACCTTGACTTTTGCTCCTATTCCTCATCTGAGAATCCTAACTCAAGACTTTAAACATTAGATGCTTCTAAGATTTCAGCTTGATTTATCCCCAGGCTCTTGAAATCACACTTTCCCCAGGGAAGGTATACAATCGTATCTGTAATTCACATGAGAACAGGAGCAGAAAGCTATTCGTGTCTTCCCTGCCTGGCTTCAATCACTATCTTCTAGCTACTAAATGTTATCAAATGCCTTCAGAAAGGAAGCTGTCCTATATTGCCCATTCTAAGAGGAAGCACTCCAAAGCCCCCCTGAAACAGTCTCACAAACTTATTTCAAGCCACAGTCATGGGTTTATCCTTGCCATGGAGGTAAGCCGGTTTTATTACCTAAAAACCACACCAGCACAGAATTCTACACTGTGATTTACAGACAACTGCTTTCATACAACATACCCAAAATTAAAATATCAAAATATGTGTGTGAATCTGGTTGGTGTGCGTACATCTCAAAGGCCTTTAAATACTCTTAGCAATCAGGATGTTCTGGAATAAGAATTGTCATTTATAGCCACTGGCTTACCTTCCCGGTCATCTTCTGGATCTCATTCCGATAAAAGATCAAGCTGCTTCTCATGAATTCATAACTGTAAATCAAAGAACAGGAGAACTGAAAGGACTGGCCCATTAGTTTGGATGCAGCTGATGGGATAGATAGACCGTTTTGCTCTCCGGTGATCACTTAAGAAAGAAATGCCACCCAGCAGAGATGGAGCCTATTCTTTGTTTTTCCAAAGCAGCCCCAAGGTAGGCAGTGAATGTTTTGAAGGCTACAGTTATAGTTCCTGATGGCCAAATAAAAATAAATCAGATAACAATATCATCTCTGCCTTCAAGCTTGCCTTTAACTGATACTCTCCAAATAGACAAGACAAATAAGATTCATCAACCTACAGGTGATGAGATGAGCTCACCTGGCCTTGCGAAGCACCTCAATCCATTCCTGGCACTGCTCTTCTGTATCACATTCAAAGTAGTATTTCCTCTCTGGCTCTTCGAGGAAGCCTAGAAAAACAAGCCCACAAAACAGTCATCCAGACAGCTCCTGTTGCTTCAACTCAACTCTCCCGGAAGAGAGAAAGTGTGTTACGGACCCCGCTGGTTACAGAATTTCAACGGGTGGGATCCAGGAAGAGAACCCACCTTTCATAGATGGGGTTGGCCTCCACCCCGGCCCTTTGGAAGAGTGTCAAGATCTGCTTGTGCCAACTCATGTGGGACACAAAGAGGGACATGCAATCCTGGAGGGTGTGTGTGTGTGTGTGTGTTACCATTCCCATTAGCATTTAGTTTTTTTACTTATAGTATCTGTGTTTTTAGTTATGTAATTTTTAAAATGTTTTTTAAAGAAAGTTTTTATTTTTTATACATCTCTTCAAGTGAGCAATATGATTTCAGGTTACAACATACATACATAATCATAATTACATTTCCAGCTTTCTTATCTAGTTCCATATCAAATCGTTATCTATTCCATTAAACTTTAAATGAATTATTCACTTCATTTTTTCAATTCATTAATCTAATAGCAAAAACATTTCATCCTCAAGCATATTTTCACTCTTTATCCCATTATTTTCATTTCCAGCTTACCACCTATTTTATTTTATGTATTATCTTCTTTAATTTTCTCAAAGCTGATGTATACCCCCGCAAAAAGAAAGAATAAAATAAAACTAATATATTCAGGATCCCCCCAATCTACAATAAATCTTATATTTATTCCAGAGATATTCATATAACCATTTCATATTTCTTCGTTTCCATTTAATCAAATTTTACCTATGTAATTTTATTAAGTTTTCATTCCTCACTTTTAAAATCATAATATAATACTCTTGTTACAAATACTTTACAATATCATTTCTAGTTTACCATATTCTCTGTTTTTCTAATATCCTTTGTATAATCAATTACATTTTCTATTTCATATCTAGCATATGTATATAATAAAAATAAGGAAAAAAACATATTTCCTCTTTGTTTACATTTAATCAAATTTATCCTACAAAATTATATTTAATTATATTTAATTTTCATCCCTCACTTTTAATAATATAACCATCTCATTACAAATATTTTATAACATAATCATTTCTAATATCATTTGTATAACCAATTGCATTTCCATTTCCCATTAAATATATGTTTAAAAAAAGAAAAGGATTTAATAATAAAACCATTCTATCATTTTTCCCTGTATATAATTATGTAATGATCTTACAGTGAGGTCTTGTTCCCCTTTAATTCCAATTAAGCTTATTTCTTTATTTTTAAAGACGATTCTCAATAAACTTTAAACTTCAAAACTCCCCCGTCTATATTTCTAAAAAAGAAAAAAAAACACCAAAGTACATTTCCATGTGGTATCCCCCCTTTATTTTATCCTTAGCCCTCGTCTCTAAATCTCTCGGCCCTATAGTTTCTTCCAATTTTAGCCAATTTCCCCTTTTCTAAGTTTTCCCAGTCCTTTCTCTTAGCTCGTTTTTTCCCTCCTAATATTATTTTTATTTTCATCTCTCATTCACTTGTTTTTCCCCCCTCCCTTTCCTGATGTCTTTTCTGCAATTTCTTTTTGTATAGCTTCTTTTGTTTAATCTTGGAAGTATTTCCCTTTTTATTTACCACATCTATCAGCAATGTCTTATTTTTAGTTTATTTCTTGTCTTTTTGCAATGTCCGTTGTTCTTTTGGCTCTTCCTCCTTGGTCTTTCTTCGTTCTTCTGTAGACTGCATCACCATTTCTAATTTTTCTACCAATAAATCCCATAGTTCCATGCTTACTTTTATCATTCCTCTCACATTTTGCAGTTCCAATCCAAGTTCTTTGCATATTTCACTCATCTTATTTAATCAATCGAGTTATTCTGTTTTGTTAAAAGCCGACGTCTTCTATTTTAATTAATTTCTCTTGTTAATCTTACTGTTTCCTTATCACAGTCCCAATCTGCCAAACAGTCCCAAGATATTATCTTCGTTTGTCCCTTTGTTGTTTTTTTTACGTTTTTTATGTTTTTCTGTACACAGCACAGAATCGTTCTGAGAGTGAGATGGGTGGTATCTAAACTTAATAGATTTTTCCACTCCTAAATAATGTGGTAATGAAAACTCAGATTCAACAACCATTTACACAGAAGGCAGATATTGACCTAAGCCAGGGGTCTTCAAACTTGACAGCTTTAAGACTTGTGGATATTTTAAGTGCTTGACAACAGAATCTTTAAATGCATTTTCCCCAGTTTCTCTGTTCCCCTCTTCAAAATAATCAGAGCCCTCCCACCATACAGCTCCCAAATCAGCCCCACCTTTCCTGTGACCTTCCTTGCTATCATATTCCCACTTTTGGGAGAACTGTCCATTCCTGCTTCATGATGTAATTTAACTGTCAACCCTGCCAGAAAATTACAGCAGTCCAAGCAGGATCAAACTAAAGCTTGCTTTATCAAGAGCTATAAAATGTTGCCTATTGGAAGAACATATTGGATTATCATATGAACAGAATTCCATTAAAATGTGACTGTTTCGCCACCAGAAGGAATGCAGTATATACAGAAGATTTATAGCTCAGGGTTGAACTGTGGGGTGCTCATTGAATTTGGGTGTTTTTTTGCAGATGTTTCATTACACAACTAAGTAATGTCATCAATGCTAGGTGTCTTCCCCCCCTTCTCTCTCTCTCTCTCTCTCTCTCCCTCCCTCTTTTTTTGCTGTTTTTATGCAGGGGTTCCCACAGAACTTAAAATTATTTAAAGGGTTCCTCCACAGTAAAAAGATGGAGAAAGGCTCAATCTCAAGCTAGTTACCTGCTTTGAGAGTGGAATGACCACAACTCTACCATATTGCAGTTGTGATCATGGACTGTTGAGATTTCACTGAACAGGCTGTCTTCTCCCCAAGTCTCCTTCCCTGGTTAGTCACTCTCAAGACCTCTCTCACCCAGCTCTACGTGGTTTCCCCAGCTTCCCCGAAAGGTAGGAAAGAAGCGGCTTTTTTACTGCTGCCTAAAAAGGGAGTGTACGAAGCAAATGTTTTGATTCATCTTCCTCTTCCTCAAGTCCCCTTATTAGGAAGAGATTGGGGGGGGGGGAATGTATAATAACTGTCTAGTTTCTCAGTCATCCAGGTCATGGTTGTCCAAAAGATGCTTTTTCAAAAGGCATCTGGACTTTTGTTTTTTCCTTGAAGGTGTTTCGCTTCTCATCCAAGAAGCTTCTTCAGCTCTGACTGAATGGTGGAGGATGGAAGGATTTATATTCCTTGCAGTCAATTGGTCATGAGAGTCATTGAGACAACTTGGGAGGTTTATCTGTGCCCTCAGGATCACCTGAATACCGCAAATGGGTGTAAAAAATAGTGCAAATGGGTATGTATAAATAACTGTATAAATAGGGAAGGCAGCTGCCAGTCAGAGCCAGCAAACCTAGACTGAATGAATCAGTTAATTGACTCAATGTACTCAGTGACATTGTTATGTTGTCAATGTTTAAAAAAAGGCTGCCAATTTGCTAGGGGAAAATTTTTTGCTCCTCACAAACATCCCAACAACTCTTTCTAAAGCACTTACTGATGGAAAAGACATTTTCTTCTTCTTTGCTGATCTTGCAGCGTTCCAACAATAAAGCACCAATGGGCTGAGGAGAGATAAAGAGTGGGGAGAGAAAGAATCAGGTCTGCTTTTCAATTAAGGTGGAAAGGTTTATAGGTAGTCCCTGACTTACAACCACAACGGAGCCCAAAATGTTGGCCATCACTCATTATGGTTGTAAGTCGAGGCACCACGTGACTGGACTCGATTTTACAACTGTTTCTATGACGGCTGTAAAGTAAGTCACAGTGGAAGTTAAGTGAACCCGCATGGTGGTTAAACAAACCTTATAGGGTTCAGTGAGTCCAGAATATCTCATGGGCTTTTATTGCAAATTTATGCCAGAAAACGGCAAAAAATGTCGCAAATCACAATCACATGACCACAGAACTCTACAACCACCCTCCCACATACACAAAATCCTCCTAGGGTGAACTTAACACATTCCAACTCTTAGATTTATTACAGGAGTAGGCAACCTTATTGTTCCAGATATATTGGATATTCTGTTTTTTTATTAGTCTCAGAAAGCAGGGCCAATAATTCAATTATAGCTGAAGGGCCACAGATTCCTTCAACCCAGTTGATGGCCAAATACTAGAAAAAAAATTGTTAGTCATCAGCCAATAAAAATATCAACCTAACTCCTGCACAATGTACTTAGGTGTACCTTAGACCTAGGTGCAACTAGGTGCAATTCATATCACATTTTAACTAAGGTACAATGTACCTTAGGCCTAGGTGCAACTAAGGTGCAATTCCTATCACGTTTCAAAACAGTTGCTAACTACTGTTACCTCAGCCTCGTCTGTTCGGAAGTAAAAGAGAAAATTGACCACTAATTTCACCAGGCGCTTCTTCAAGGCTGCAAAGAGAAAAGAGACACAAAAACTGTTTTTATTTTTATTTACTTATTTATTCAATTTCTGTGGCTGCCCAACACTACCAAATGACTCTGGGCTGCTATAGTTTGATAGCTGGGTTATCATCAGGAAGCCGGTAAATAATCCTTGAGTTTGGAATAGCATAGCTCAGCATCTGCTACACCCCAGCAGATCCACGCTATGCACCTAAGACCAGTTATAATCAACCTTTGATAAAGGTTGCTCAAACCTTTTCTACACACATAGGTAGCACATTAACACAACCTTAAAACTACTGTTAGCATCAGCATATAACATAATACCCTTTTGTCTTCCTACCCCGTGTCAGTTAATGGCAAAGAGCGGTTAGAACAGTAGTTTATGACTGGCAGAACAGACTTCTAATCCTTAGTCACAACATTCGTTAAATGATTTGGTACTACTCACTCCTCTCTTGGCCTCATCAGTCTTAATGGAGGAGTATCAAGAAGTATGTTGGCTGACATATGTCAATCTGAGTTTCATGGAGGAAGAATATCATATAAATAAGAAGCTTTTTACCCTCAAAACTAAAGAGTATTTAGCCCCCTAATGAAATCAGTACCATTCGATATTATAATAAATGGGCCCATTCTGTCTTGTAAATTCAGAATGCTTTAGAACAGTTTTCCCCTGCACTTTAATAATTCTCTTTCTGGAGACTCGCACTAAGAAAATTAAATCTGGAGGAGTCAAAAAAGATCTTTAAAATCATTAAAATCAAATATGTGTATCATACTGGGAGTGAGGAATTACAATTCATCATAACTGGGTGGGGGGGATATAATAAGATTTAGAAAGGGATTAGTGTATGGTTTTGGTAAACCATACAAGTGGTGCTAAAAAGGAGCCTAGTTATTAATCCCTGATGCAATAATGCTGCATTTATGCATGCACATGAATAAGCAAAATAGCCAAACTGTTCACTTAAACAGAATGGCATTAGTATTCACAGTGGAACAGCAAGTTACCAATTGTCACATACAGCACTGACACGTTCCAATAAGCAAACAATGAAGTTAATTCTCCCAAGTGCAGCATCTTCTGAAATCAGGACAAAGTACCCCAGAGACATGTCCTATACAAACCTCAGAGTTGACTGCTGCATTATGGTGGGGAGAATCTCCAAACTCACCCCCTCAAGAACTGAGCAGATTAAGGGGCTAGGAAATAGGAAATATCAGGGAAAAGTATGGAGTAGAGCAGGGGTCGTCAACTTTTCGGACCTCAGGGACCACTAAATCTATAATTTTAAATCCTGCAGACCACTAATATGAATTTTAAAAAAAGATAAATAGTATTTAGTGCAATATAAAAAATGCAAATATTTTTTCTGCTGACCACCAAAATTTTCTCACAGACCAACAGTGGTCCATGGACCACCGGTTGGTGACCGCTGGAGTAGAGCACCCTTCTTTGACAGATGGGCCTTCTGAATATAGAAGCCTCTGCACTAGACGTTTGTGCATCTATATCTATAGTTATATTAAAATTTATGATAAAATGCAGTCATATTAAGGAAGGAGATTTTAATATGTTTAAGAAAGTATTTTTTATACGAATTATGTTAGAAGTAACTTGTCAGTCAGTTGTAGCAAAAACTACCTAGTATCTTGTGGCACCTTAAAGCTGAACTACAGGTAGTCCTTTACTTACAACAGTTCATTTAGTGACCGTAGTGAAGTTACAACGGCACTGAAAAAGTGACTTATGATCATTTTTCACTTATGACCATGGCAGCATCCCCATGGTCATGTGATTTACATGTAGATGCTTGACAACTAAACTCCCATTTATGACTTTTGGGATCTTCTGACAAGGAAAGTCAGTAGGGAAACCAGATTCACTTAACAACCATGTTACTACGGTATTTTAAGAACTGCAGTGATTCGCTTAATAAATGCAGGGGAAAAAGTCGTAAAATGGGACAAAAGTCACCAAAAGTGGCACAGCAAGTTACCAATTGTCACGTTTGGTACTGATTAACACACTTATCACTTAGCGACATAAATTTTGGGCTCAAAAGTTGAGGACTAGCTGTATTTTACTATAAATGCACCGTATTACTCTTGGGGAACCAGGAAGCATTAGGCAAAAGGCAAATACAAAATAAATATAACACATAAACTGTAAACATAAAACGGGTAAATGAGTCACGGTCATCGTGAAAATGAACAAGAGATTAAGGAAGACAAAAACTAAATAGAAGCTGGAACTGAGGACTAGTATCCACAGGGCTGATAAAAGCCCACTCAAGGGTCTAGTCCTCAGGGATGGCAGTCATGCCAGAGAGGCCCTTGAACATCTCGCTTCCATTTTCCCCCAGCGCCCTCAGATGACGCAATTATCGCCCCCCCCGTCCTGTCACATCCCCCTCCCTTTCGCTCCGTGACGTCACGAGCCCCTTCTCATTACCACTTCCTTTCTTGGGGGCGCGCATGAGAACCTCCGCCGCCTTTTCGGCCGGTTGCCGGGAGAGCGACAGCAGCTCCCGTTCGTTGTACCGCATCGCTTCCACCGCTGCCCCGCCCCGCCCCGCCCCCTTCGCCCTCCGGCCTCTCGGATCGATGGCTTCTTCCCTCTTACTTCCGCCATGGCTTTCTCACGAACTGGACTTGCCCTTCTGTAACACTTCCGGGTCCGAGTCTCACCGCCCTCCTGGCAATGTGGTCTCTCTCTGATCATCTTCCATTCCTAGAGCGGACGCCTGGGAAAGTTTTCCCTCTTCTTCGGCTTGAAAAAACTTCCGGAAGAATATCCGGGCCAACGGTGATCTAACCCGGAAGTGAAAGCTACTTAAGCGCTTTTGGCCTAGTACATTCCAGCGGCAAGAAGGCGACGCAGTAAATAAGGCCTTGGTCGCTCGGGCGATTCGGTGCCCCTCGGCGGCTGATGAAGCGAGAGGGAGTCGAAACGGCACGGGTGAGGAAAGAGGGAGAAGTTCTATAATGCCAGCCTTGAGCTCAGGGGCCATGGTGGGGAATTAAACTGTGGGTGAGAAACATGCGGGAGGACATAACTAAGTGGTGGTGAGACCGGAGTGGGAGCAACAGGACTGATGGGAGGAGAAAACAGCCCCCCAAAACTTAGTGGGGCTCAGCCAGTCGTGGGAATGGGGGTAATAGAGGCAAATGCCCAGCTTTTGAGGAAGACCTGCATTCCCTTGTACAAGCTTGCAGAGGTAGTCCTCGACTTACAACACTTAGTGACCATTCCGAGTTACAAAGGCACTGGAAAAAGCGACTTATGACCATTTTTCACAGTTACAACCATTGCAACATCCCTGTGGTCACGTGATCAAAATCCAGATTCTTGGCAACTGACTCATATTTATAACGGTTACTGTGTCCCAGAGGAGTCATGAGATTCCCCCTTTTGCCATCTTCTGACAAGCAACATCAGTGGGGAAGCCAGATCTGCTGAACAACCATGTGACCAACTTAACAACTTCAGTGATTCGCTTAACAACTCAGGCAAGAAAAGTCGCAAAATGGAGCAAAACTCACTTAACAAACGTCTTGCTTAGCCACTGAAAGTTTGGACTCGGTTATGGTAATAAGTTGAGGATTGTGTGTAATGATGGGAAAGGCTGGGGGTAATGAAGTTAATAGGGCAAGGAATTGGAAACTCAGGAGCCAGAGTGGAAAGGAGCTTTATTGCATGGCAGGGGAAAGGGAGCCAGGATGATGGTAGTTGGAGCAGAGGCTATAGTTTTGGTTGGAAGGAAGGAGGTAAACAGTTGGAGAAAGATTTTCCAGCGCAATGTGGAGAATTAGCCAAGGAAGAATGAAAGCTTAGCCTGGAAGAGTTAAGCTGGAAATGGGCACTGACATAAAGGAGAATCGAGTACAAACCTCTACAGCAGCACCAACCAGAAGAGAAGATCAGCTTTTCCATCTTGCAGGCAGACTGTAGTCATGAATGAAAGTGAATATTTGTGTCCCAGGGTAATGTTGCAGGATCTAATCTGGGTCAGTCACTGGGACCAGAGGTTTTGTCTTCCAAACTTTCAGATTTGTGCTGGAGCCCATGGTGCATGGTGCAATAAGATTGTATGTTTGTTAGTAGGATTCACTGGGTTGGCGTTATGACTTCACTGTGAGTTGTGTTGGGGAGGGGTGCACGAAAGGAAGCTCAGCCAATCTCATTGTACACATGTTGTACTCTGAAAATAAAGGTTGATTTGATTTGATTCAGACAAAATCTCTGATCCCGGTGACCAACCCAGATTGGATCTTGCAATAGGTTGTAGTGTGTGAATTTGAAGTTTATTTCTCTACAGGCTATTGAAGTTGGCTAATGCAGCATTTTTCATTTGTATTCTTCATTCTGAATAAATTGGTTATTAATTGGATTATTCATTATATATGAATTCATTATAGTCACCCACAGGAAAAAACTTGCCTTCGCACTTATGTTAATGCTCTTCACATGTGATATTAATGTCCTGGAGGAAAGATCATTGTTTTTGTTTTAGAATGATTACGGCCCACTCTATTAGGAAACCTTGTTATTAAAACTTGGTTTTCAGTTTTTATGGTTTCTGCCTTTTCGCTTGTCTAAACAATTAAATGTCAGAGTTCCAGCAACCCTCCATTCCAATCAATAACTCCAAGACAGACATATCTCAAAGGTACCTTTATTTGGATAGTAACTGGCACATCTGTGGAATTCCGAATCTGAAAGTTTCGGGCTTCCTTGCAAAAATGAAAAGTACAAATATATCCTCCCTTAACCATCACCACATCACATGGTACAATCAACATCCGTCCTAAAGTAAGATTCCCATTTCATTATGTGCCACACTCAGTGACCTTGAACCAAACAAAAGATTTTTATTTTGTCTAACTAGATACACTCAAATGAATTCCTCCCTCCCACTTTCTCAGGCTCAGTTGTGGCAGCGTGGGAGCATCGAATCTCAATATGGCTTCCAAAGCTGACAAAGTTTCTTGTAACAATCGAGATGGGTAGCACAATGGCTCAGCGGTAAGATGCTGGTCTTGTCAGCTAAAAAGGTTCGAGACCCGAGTGTTGCGCAACTGGGTGAACTCCCGTTTTTGCCCCAGCTCTTACCAACCTAGCAGTTCAAAAGCATGCAAATGTGAATAGATAAATAGGTACCACTTCGGTGGGAAGGCATCTGGCTCCATGATGTCATGCTGGCCACATGACTGGACAGTGCTGCCTCAATAGCCTTGAAACAGAGATGAGCACCACCCCTAAAGTCGACTACAACTAGCAGAGTAAAATCTGCCGTTCCTTTTTACAACAATTGAGATATAACGCTTACTCTCGTTCGATTTTACCTCTTTTAATTTTTGTGCAGATTTTCCATGTTTTCTCAGGATATATTAAGACCAAGACCATTTAGGCAGTACCTGAGTCTGGAGTGACTTTGGGCAGATCACAGTGTAAAAAACACAATCTAGATAATCCTACGCTTATCATCATTCATGTACACCAACTTCATTTTCTCCTCTCTTTCTCTGTCTCCGATTCCCAGGATTTTGAACCACAAAGACTTCAGTCATGGATTTTCAGCACCGTCCAGGTGGAAAAACGGGGAGTGGAGGTGTTGCCTCAGCCTCAGAAAGCAATAGGGACCGCAGAGAGAGGTTGAGGCAACTCGCCTTGGAAACGATAGATATCAATAAGGTGAGCTTCTACTTTTGTTGTTTTGTGTGGTGAATAAGAAGTATGACGTAATGATTAAATAACGGACTGATTAATCTATTGCTCCATAGCCACCATCATTCAACTGTTAAGGTGTTAGACCAGGGGTATCAAACTCGGTTTCATTGTGGGCCGCATCAGAGTTGTGTTTGACCTCGGGGGGGAGAGGCGGGGAGGCATAGCCAAGGTGGGTGTGGCCAGCTTGACATCACTCTTGTCGGGGTGCCTGTGGTGGCCTGAGTGCCAGCGAAAACGGGCTACCGAGCTCCATTTTTGGCTGTGACGGCCTCAGGCAACCCTCTGCCAGCGAAAACGGGCTACCGAGCTCCATTTTTGGCTGTGACGGCCTCAGGCAACCCTCTGCCAGCGAAAACGGAGCTCGGGAGGGCCATACGCAGCCCTCCCAAGCTCTGTTTTCACTGGCAGAGGCACCGCGGGCCAGTGCTGTTTCCCCTGCGGGCCAGATCTAAGCACCCTGCGGGCCTTGAGTTTGACACCCCTGTGTTAGACTAAGAAGACCAGGTGCAGGTCCATCCTCTGTCACAAGAGTCCACTGCATGACTTCTGCCGTACACTCTCAATCTCACCAGCTGTTTGCAAGGATCAAATTAAGGATAGAAAGTTAAGGGTAAATGCACGCCACAATGAACTCCCGGAAGAAAAGCAGTATGTACACTCGATAAAGAACGGCTTGCTTAAGACAGAACACATATTTTTCAACAGCCTATCTCTGGTTTAATCCTCAAATCTATAAAGTGGCATTTATACCTCAAATATTCAAGGCTTGCCGCTTCCATCAAAACTGCTCTGAACTACATCGATCCAAAGTGGTTTTTTTTTGGGGGGGGGGGGACACCCAGAATTCCTCAAATGCAGCATCTTGAGGCAGCAGGTTTGGGAAGGACCTCTCTTTTGATTGGTAGCTACCAATTAGAACAGACAGCACTGGGCTAGTAATGAAAAAATATACTAATCAGAGGGCTCCAAACTTGGCAACTTGAAGACTTGTGGAGTTGAAGTCCACAAGTCTTCAAGTTGCCAAGTTTGAGGACCTCTGTACTAAATGAAACATAACATCATGCATCTCTCCATGGATTTGCATCATTTTTCTTTTCAAAATTACCATAATAGCAACTCCGATGTAAAAAAATTACATGTGGGAGGAAGTCAAAATTGGGGCACTAGGTTTTAGTTCACTTCCAGAAATCATCTGTAGAAGTTGGTTTGGTTTTGTGTCTTTACATCACCATTGACTTCTAGTGACTTCCTGGGCAAGCTTCTGCCATTTTCTTGGGTAAAATTTTGGAAGTAGTTTGCCACTGTCATCAGCGTTGAGAGAAAATAATTGGCTCAAGGTCAACTGATTGGCTTTGGGCCCAGGGCAGGAGTGATACTTATGGCAGGGGTGTCAAACTCGTGAAAATGCGTTGTGTTGTATCGCAACTTTTTCTCCTTCACTAAATCGGAGGTGGGCGTGACCATGCATAACGCATCCGGCCTGCAGCCCGTGAGTTTCATACCCCTGACTTACGGTGTCCTGGTTCCTAATCTGGAACCTTAACCATTGCACACAACTGGTTGTCTCACATAGGTAGCTTGTGTGAAGTCTTACACCTGGGTGTGGTACATACGTACTTTTTATATTGCCTAAACTGAGACTTAACCCTTATTTCTGTTCCCAACAGGATCCCTATTTTATGAAAAATCACTTGGGGTCTTATGAATGTAAACTTTGTCTGACACTGCACAACAATGAGGTGAGGACTTATTTTTGCAAAGGCACTTTGTCTGCTAAGGAATGGTGTAATTTAGCAATAAGTTATTGTAGATGCCCCAGCCTCATTAGAAGTATTTCTAGAAGAATCGAATCTTGTTACAATCTTTTTAACATTCTAAAACCTGATGATTGGTTTAATTATTGATGTTGTTTTATTTGGCTGTGCTAATTCTTTATTATTTTTATGTATTTATTTATGTCCCACCTTTACTATTTTTGCAAACAACCTGAGATGACAAAAAATATCCCACACATCTTCCTCTTCCTGTTTTTCTCCATAACAACAACCCTGTGAGGTGGGTTGGGCTGAGAGAGGGTGACTGGCCCAATGTTGCCCGTTTGGCTTTCATGGCCAAGACAGGATTTGAATTCAGTCTCCCACTTTCTAGTCTGGTGCATTAACCATTAAACCACGCTGGCTCTCTTGATATTATTTATCCTTGTATTGTTAATAACCTTGATTTAGCTGTTTAATGTACATTTTTAACTGTTATGGATGCATTTGTTGATTGTTTTGCAAAATGTTTCGAATCTTGTTTTGTTTTGATGGTATGTAACAAATGATAACATCTTTGAATGGATATAAGGCAGCTTCCTCCAAATCTGTTTAAAAGAAACCCTTCCTCGCTTTCACAGGAACTAGACTGTTAGCCTGGGTTCCCACAGTTGGCTACAACAGGTCGGGAACCCTATTGTTTACAGGTGTTTTAGGAGATGGGAACCCAGCCATGCTCTTAGTTCAGTGTGAGAACCAGTGAGAACAATCAACCAATGGAACAGAAGTTGCCCTCGGAAGTTGTGGGAGTACCATCACTTGAGACTTTCAAGAAGAGATTGGACTGCCGTTTGTCAGAAATGGTGTAGGGTCTCCTGCTTGGGTAGGGGGTTGGACTAGATGACCTGCAGGATCCCTTCCAACTCTGATTATCTGAATCTGAATCAGATCATCATATTAACCCATAATATAGTTTGTTTGTTTTTGCAGTGCCTATGATGCGAACAGGAATTATGTTTTGTTAACTCATTTCTAGCGTAACTCATTTCACCTATAGAAAAAGTTTAGCTGAATAGCAGAATATTTCCTTTCCATGTAAAAGATTTACAACATCTGGGCACCTCCTGAGAAGGCAAAGAAAGACACTCATCTGAAACTCCGAAAACTGCTGCCAAATGAAGAGCAGAAAATGTTTAGTGAAATTAACCCAGCAGTCTGAATAAATAGCCCATTTAATTAAAACCTTTTAAAAAAAACACTTTAGGGCAGGGGTGTCCAACCTTGGCAACTTTAAGACTTGTGGAC